ACTGACTGACTGACTGACTGACTGACTGACTGACTGACTGACTGACTGACGCATCAGTTCCAGTTTTATTCTGTGTGAAGCAGCGCTATTCATGTGTGTGGATGTGTTTCTCGGTTATTAGATTTCTGTGGGTTCGTTCCTAACCTGTCAGACTTGATTTATTCTTCCATCTCATGAACCAAATTAAACAGGGTAAGCTGTCAGTTCGGAAAAGGAAGCACAATGTTCAGGGGGTCAGACGATATTCGATCATCTGCAATAGTCAATTTCAGTGAAACGTGAAAATAGAAACTCTCATTCTCTCTTTTTTTACTACCCAAAACACTGAGTACTTAATGTTAAGACGGAACTCACAGAACCCATCAGACGGCGTACGAATCCGTGGCACATCGCAAGTGCGCTCTCAATTCTCAAGGTGAATCGATTCCAGATTGGATCACTAAGGCGAATTAGACAGCTGATCGACCAATCGGAATGTCAAGAACGCGATCTGATTGGTGCATCATCGCGTCGTTCCCGTGCACCCTTTTATCCGCTTATATTTGTTTATCGCCTCATAATCATTTTAATACACTAAGACTGTTGTTCTCTAGTCGTGTTCCACCTCCATGTCAAAATTGGGGGCTAGGCAAGAGGCGCTTGTATCGATGGAAAACCTACCCAAGAACTTAACAGTTAATGAACAAATAAATTTGATATTGGAAAATGTCTCAGCCTATGCAAATTGAAAAAAAGAAAACAATGGGACTCACAATTAGCTTAGGTGATATCGCGCGTTCGATTCCTGAAGTTCCCGAGATGGTAGATGCGCGGTCCAAGGTCAAGGTCACAATGATCTCACCGGATTGGAGCGCTTGAGGTTGACTGTAGAATGTGGTACAATACACCTGTGAGACAGATTACACAAGCGAATGGGAACAAACATGGTGTGTTAAGCCAGGCTCATTGTCAATTTACGTCTTACGCAAACAAACGAATCGAAAATGGAGGATGGCGGGAGTGGATTAAAACGTTTTCATTAGGAAGACACTTGAAAGAGATTGCGGAGGTTATCATCGGACAAGATTCAAAATAACACTAAGATATAAGAGGAATCTAACTCAGAACTGGAAATCATTTTCATGGGGTTTGAATTTTCTCAGCACAAAACATTCTCAACCAGTAACCAGAGCACACTTAACTAGAACGGAATATGTATGTACACTCACTTCATCATCTTCCAGCTTCCATGGTCTTGGTCCACTAGTCACGGTCAATGGGCCATTAATGAGAGGCTCGTACAATCTCTTACAGTCGTATTCACTCTCGGCAAAGAACACCCATGGTTTATAATTTATTCCATCCAAAGATCTTTCAAGTATCCAATTCGCCGGTCTCGGACTGTCGCCCATTCGTAGCAACACGTACACGATTTGGTATACCTGATTGGAGAAATGATTAAAGCATATAGCCAAAGTAATAATATTTACAATCTGTACTCCTTTTTAAGAATAAATATCTAAATATTCCTTTCTTCGGGAAGGAGGTGTAGCATTCAACCCAAAGTGGTGAGATTCGAGCACGACACTTACGAGTCAATTTATTGATAGCATTTACCGCTTCCTGAGATAGAAAAAAAAATGACGAATGATCCTGATGCAATCAATCAGTAAGCTAATCACATGCTTATGCATGTTAGATCTTCAGGTTATTAATGTAAATAATTGAGGAAATGGTTTACCTGATTAAAATCCATGGTAATTGTAACCGCATGATATCGTAACCCTTCGGCCAATGATGGGCTCTGCCACCAAAGATCCGATTCACCACGAAGCACGTATTCTATCGGATGACTCAATCGCGGATCCCGTGCATCACAGAAACTACACTGTACCCATTGTCCACTAGGGTCACGAAATGACTTCTCATCCCGTGTATACGTTTCAATTTGACGTCGATCTCTGCAAGAACAAAACCAGTTTTAGGCGAAAAGGTTTAAAGACTTGTTCTAATCATAGAATGGATCTTGTTAAATGTACAACAAATGAAAAATAACTGAAACCGGCATAGTCTGGGGATCTTGTAGCTCCGATCCCACACGGAAGGCTAAGAATAGATTAGTTTCCGGTGTTTACATCCAATGGGGCTCATCGAAAGAGCCGAGCACTGATCCCATGGTCGTTGATCGTCATGCAGTTTCGTAGTTTTGTCATTTGCATTATAAACAAAACAATTTATTTCAGAAGGAAAATTGGATTTACTAGTGCTTATTTTGCACCAAGTTTAATCTACGACAGACTGACTTACAAGATGCGATTGTGATCAGTTCCAAAGAAATATCATACAGAAATTAATTCTGTGATTCTCTATCTGAATATTAGCTAAACTTCTATTCAGCTCTCTCACAAATAATATTCTTGTTTGATCATTTTAGTGCATAGTCAATTGAACTAATCTGGGTTCCGCATGGATGTTTGACAACATTGAAATCAATTTCCAACTGGACTCATATCTCACCTTCTGTATAACAGTGCCCCATCCGCGTGCTCCACTAGACGACAGAAATACTCTCGTCTAGTTGTTCCACATGTCGCATTGGCCGTGATGATTGCATTCTCCTCGAGAATGGAATCCGGATCCATATCCAAAAAATCCGGTTGGTAGGAAAGATCTGACGCGAACGGAAAATTTGGGTAGAAATATAAAACATCTGGACATTAATCTAACTTACTTAAATGTGAAACAATTTGGATATGGAACTGGTTTGAATACGTTTGTTTTTGACTCACATTAAATGATGCCTATATCCATTGTGCAATTTTTCTTGAAAATATCTCCCAATTTGTCAATTCGTGTTTGTACTTTTTTCTTAAACACTGATGCTTTGCTTTAACAAATACGAGCTGACACTTAATAGCTACCGGACATTTTACTTACATCAATGAAATGTTTTACGTTGAGGATAAAAATACAAAAGTGCTCAGTATTACTGAAAAGCCTAAAGCTTTGTATTGTGTCACATGTATGGGTGCATCGCTCCTATTGACCAAACACAATTTTAATTTTTCACAATTTGCTAGATTTAATAGTTTGCAAACTATTCATGTTCAAGGTTGACAATGGTTTACGTCCATCACATCCAGATTTCTTTGTAAAACCCATATGATAAAAAGAGCAGTCCTTGTGACCAGTTTTAGAATCACTATTTGGAATTAGAACTCTAGTAATTTTGTTAGAAAACAGTTGTAAACGGAAGCATTGAGAAGATCAGAAGCTATCTTGTTTGTATTTTTTTATTCTTCATTCGACCAGAAGAATTTTGGAAATTGTAAAATTACTTCAATTCATAAATTTTACTCTACAGATTACTTACAAACCGATTGTTTTGGCTGATTGAATCAGTAATTCAAAACCGAATTTCGGTTAAACATTTAATTTAAGAATTCAAGCTATCTAATAGAATACAGGTGAATATGTCGTAGAAATTGGTATATCTTGATACTAAATATAAACGGTGTATACTGCAAACTGATAGGAATTTTTTCTATGCTATTCTCTCAGCTTTTTAAATTACCCTGAAGAAAAATGGTTTAAAGGAAAATGTATCTGACGTTGGTTTGTTTATATTAGACAATTGATTTTTGAAAATTTCTTACATTAATTAATTTTTTGTATTAGATTTTTCAGTGGGGTTATTAAATTTACGCACTCTAATACATAAAATTCTCATAGAACCCTCCTAGTTCCTGCCAGTACAGTTGAATTGTTTGACGTGAAATAAAATGATCCATTCTTGCTTTCTCGTTTTGTTCTATGGCTTCAAGTGAAAATCGGGAAGGCAAAGAGGAATATTGTTGTAAGTTGTTTGTATTATATAAATCAATTTCGTGAATAGAAGCAAAATTGTGTGTTCTGGAATTAAAATAGTTCAGAAATAATCAAAATTGAACTCAATCGGTAACTAGTGTCTGGTTGGTGTACCTCGCTGTAACTGGGAGCAAATAAACTTAACTGGTGACATGTCACGCGAATTTTATTGAAATCATCTTAATCTTAAATTGATGAAGTATAATGTGTTTGTACGAAGTAGCTAAACAACGAACAATCGATATTCAAACAAGATTAAAGAAACAGATGTTTGGGACCTGCACTGGTAAAAAGCTTACGCAAAAAACCCGAGAGCACATAACGATTTCCATGAATTTATATTTTAAAATAAAACCCAACTAAACTTTTGATTTCAAATTTTTGATAGAAATTTCAACAAACTCGCGTGTTTTTTTAAGTTACCCAAAAGAACTATTACGGCAATAGAGTTAACCGATTCCGGTATTTTTGCTCAAAACAAAGTTCAGGATGTAGGTCATCGGACAATACAGTGATATAACAAAAATTCATGCATTTTCATTTGTCTGCACTGCATTTATAATTTATAATTTATTATGAATTGCATCAGGGATGTGTTTCTGGTCCACTTCTAGCCGTGATGTATATTTTAATGACTAACCGAGGCAACAATGTTGCTCATGTTTGTGTACTCTGATTAGATGATCATCCAGTGTACGAGTGAGTGTCCCGATGATCGTTGAATACTACAAGAGAATCTGAACACCGTAACTTAGTGGACAATCTTAGGCCTTTAAGGTTAACACTGCTAGATGGACTTACTTGCTCATAGATTGAGCTAATATGGGGGTAGTTTACAGCGTACCGTATTGTGTATAAAATTGTCATAAAATGATCTAGGACGCATGAATACTCGGAATAACCCTGATCGGGTTTGTGTGAAGTATTCTTGGAATCTTTCGGCTGACTAATAATGGAAAAACTCCAATTGCTACATGTCTCCTGGATCATAATGAGACTTGAATATGGTGGTGCGGTGACACACGTTTGCACGGCTGGTGAACTGGTCAATTCAGAGTGTGTACAACGTCCTCCTAGATTTTGAAATACTCAAGGCCAGTCAAATGTGCCCTCTATAGGTCGCAGGCTTGTTCCAGTTGAGTATCTGCTCATTTAGGAAATTGATTTGTCTAGAAAATATCATAAGGAGGAATATTGGCTTATATTTGCAGATTTAATTCCCTTTACAGACAGTAAAATTCAAGCGGGCACTCCCTTATGTGGTACAAACCTCAATTGCTTGGCATGCCGTTGATCTATCGACTTCCGAGAAGGCCAAAAATCCTCAAGTATTTGCTCCTATCGACACTGGCGGAAGATTTGATCTATGCTGCTTTTAAGCGGCATTGCTGATGGTTGAACACATGCGGTCGGCCATTTTAACCAGTGGTGACTCAAGATGACACAAGAAAAATACTATTCTGGACTACTTATTTTTTAAAAACTAAATTTACTGTATCATAAACAATTTCAGACAATCAAATTTTATTCTGGGAGTTGTTGCCGAATCCAGTAAACACTTGTTTTCATTTGCTAACTTGTTACTTCAATTAAAATAAAAACTACTGTTAATCCTAATCATAAAATGTGCTTTTTTGATTAGGATAACTTTCATATTTGATTCTTAAGAAAGCGCGATGAACAAGGTGCGCAGTTGATAAAGCCTGGTGGAAAGTGGGGATTTAATGTACATTCAACAATTTGAATTGATGTAATACATGCTTTAAGACATGACATAACTATGTCATAAACAGTAAACATGTTTATTCGTTAGCCAGGTACTTCAAGGAAGGGGTGGTCATCAAGACTACGTTCTACACTCTGACTCCGTGTGTGACGCCAGTGAGGCTGAAAATTTGTAAACACATTTAACCAAAAGCTCCAATATCCCTGTGACTTTGACGTTAATTAAAGCTTGTGCAAAAGCTGTGCTTGAATAACCACAGTCACTGGAAGAACTTTTTAATGAAGTTCTAGATATTTACGGTGTAAGCAAACTCGTGCATGATGTGGATTGTATATCACATTCACAAAATGACACTCAACGATTTGGATATATAAGCAATTTCTTAGCTTTTGCCCATGAAATGTACTTGAGATGACTACGTAATATGATTTGATCACCGACTACTCCAGTATTTGCCGCCTTTGTGAAATAAAAATGTAGATTACGGATAATGGGGGGTACTTGGGTGATACAAGTAAATCATTTAACCATGTTTTCCCCGCTCAGCCTTTATTTCACATCAAGCAGGTTGCAACTGTGTGACCATTCACAGGATACCTGTGTTATGTATAACAACGTGCTTGGACTTATTGCACAATTCGCAGATTCCCACACTTATTTCTCCCCTTTTGAACACTACAGATTTTTATCGTGGTATTTTACCGTCTTCACATTTTTATATATCAGTGCTCAGAATAAGTTACCGCATCTCTGCAAAATGCTGTGTTTTTGTGTACTTATCATTCAGCAGTTATTCACATTGTAAATAATTATGATGCATTTCGCTGATAAACTGCGGCTTAGTACCTTAGTTTTCCTCTTTTTGAATTAATTTATATATCCAATACAATCGCTGATAAAATTTTTCGTTTTGCAGATGTTCAAAAATGTCGAATTTGTGAACGATAATTCCGTTGCCATTGTGCATGGTCATCGTAACACGATGATGGCACGGTTCAATGGCTGGGGGTGCCAACAAAGAGGTACAGAGATCCGGTTGCTCTGTTTCCCCTGTATATGCCGTTCTTCCGTCCCTACTTAGACTATGAAGTCCAGAGATAAGCACAAACTAAAATCGAAGACGTAAACATCCTTGAAATCATACAAGGGAGTTTCACCAAATTTCTCCCAGGTCTTCAAGGGTTGACGTACACCTAGAGGCTGGAGAGACTGTGACTTTTCTATCTCAAAAGGAGAAGGTTGAGGGAGATCTTACTGAGAGATTCAAGCTCCTGAAAGGAATACCCAGCACTGGATTCCCCTTATTCAGCATGGATAACAACCTTTCACTTAGAGGACCTGAGAAATCATCATTGGATCCGTTGGGCTCCGTGAATGGAAACCTCGGGTTGATCGTAATCGATGATTAGAGATACTGAATGTTATGGCTGTGTCGTAAACAGTGGCGTTCATGCATCTCAATTTTTCCTCCACGTTAGTCCACTGAAATTCTAAATTTTCTCTTTGATGCTACCTTCAACCTTTCCTGTCTTTCTCCTAATATTCATCCAAACGGGCAGCCAAAGGACAGCAACCAAAACCCGCGGATGAAAGTGCATCATTAATCACAGTGGGCCGCAACTCCGAGCCGGGTTCTTCACCAACAGTGGGATCCCAATAAGTAATAGGCTACCAGGACAAGTGGTCAGATGTAGCACAATGGTGGGATTCAAGACCACCTTGGATGAGTACAGGAGAACCGTCTAACAAGAAGCAGCATATCGAGGAGTAAGAAGCTAAGAAAATACTCACTCACTCTAACCAGTAAGGCTTTATCTTTACAGCTATGAATGTTGGCTGGCGATAGGTGTTTTCTGTCAGTTATTTTCCGTAAATCTGCCAGATGCAGACATTCTACGTTAATTCATCCAGGTGTCAATGGTCTGCCTAGGGTCTTTTATACTAACCAATAACCCATAGAAACTTAGCCTAGGTCTAGACCACTGAGTTTGCATGTGTCTATTTTCAGAAATATCCCAGATGGAAACTCCCACTGAGGACTGAGACAACTGGACCCATCAACAAAAACAAAAAGTC